TAGATCACATGTTGATAAAAAAAATATATTTTTTTTGTTACCGAAATAATCTAAGTAGTATGACTAACAAAAATAAAATAAAGATCACAAATTAACCGCCATTTGAAGTAAACATTCTTGCGATGTATAAGTTTGACATTTTTATGATACACATTAGATTGATAATTTATGTTTGGTCACATCTTAAGTATTGTGAGCCATTATTACATTATTATTTTTTTTTAATATTTTTCATTTTTAGACATTAACCATCAATATGATAATTGTCATCGTACAATGAGTGAGATGGTAAACGGACAACAAGCTGTGTCGTTAAGCTTTTTTGAATGGTAAAATTAATTCTTTTAAAAACTATATCCGAAGATCTAGGGATATAGCATTACTATGTATGATTCATTGTATATTCTTTTAAGAAACTCTACTGCATCCGGTGCGAGGAAACCAAACGTATTAAATGCAAATGATATGAACACGTGTTGATTTTCCATGCACGATTTCTCATGTTTGGTGATTTTGCCTGTAGCTGCTTTTAAAGCAGCATGTCCTGCCGTGAAACCCCCAACCCTCAGGCCCACGAGTGGGGATACCCCGGTAAGATCCACACATGCGTGTTTCCCTGCGACCCATCCAAAAATCAAAATGTCAGCCGTTCTGAGGGTTGACCTTCCTTCTGTCGGGTCAGTCAATAAATTAACAGGTGCCTCTTTCTTAGTGGAAACCCTAGCACCCTTAAATATGTCAAACAAAACACCGCTAACCATATCGTGCTTGTATTTGAACCCCGGGGAGTTCTTTACAGTGAAGTGCATGCTCCCCAAAAGAGTCCAAACATGCCTTGCGACACACATGACATATATCGTCAGCTAAGAATATGGGAATCATGAGTCGATATTTGAGAATAGTATGATACTCCACGGGAGACATGTATTGGCCAAGCCCATCTATAGGGATAGCCAGAAGAAAATCTTGAGTATGTGGTGCACGTAAGTAGTGGAAAACTGCTTTCTGTCGAGCCGTCATGTCGAGATGTACTTCCATATCTTGGACAATTTTACAAAAAATGGCACTCGCTAGTGTATTCTGAGATTTAGAGGGGCGGTGTCTTTAGTAGTAAAATTGTTAAGGTCAAAACCTGGAAGCTTGTTGCGAAGGGATGCCAAGGCACAATCATAGTCAGAATCCATACCATGTATACTGCTATCCTGTAAGATGTGGTCTTGCAATACCCAAGATTGGGCCCTTGAGGCAACAAAGGCATAGGAGGTAGCCTTTGCTGCCGAGTATAAACCCAAACCCCCAAACCTAATAGGTAAGGAAGCGATTCGCCATTGTATGTCACCAAAGAAAGGGCCCCCACAAACCATAATGTCCTCAATCGCCCCGCGCAATCCATTGTCAAAGAATATTGTCGCCTCCTCCATGTGAACAGGTTGGCACATCCTTAACCCACAGAAAAGCTTAACAATACCCATACAAGACCGAAGAAGAAGGAACTCACTCTGGGGGTCAGACAATTATGGAAGAAGGCGCTTCAAATTCACAACATTTTCGGCTCTCTTTATGGCTAAGCTGCGAATGAAACTAGCATCTCTGCTAACAGCTCCCCCAAGAAGTTTCACCCCCAAAGGCGGCCTCCTGATGTCTGCCGGAAATAACCCCTCCCGTAACTTCCTACCATCACACGAGGTCCAAAAGAGCTCGGTTTTCTTGATATTCAGCTGAAGGCCCAATTTTGGGCCAATCACCATTATGATGTCCAATGTTTTGGCCACCTCCTCCGAATCTCTGATAAGTGTGCCATCATCCAAGTACCATGCATGGAGAAGAAGCTTGCAATTGTCTCTAATCTTATGCAAGAGCAGGTGCAACACAATGGCAAAAAGAAGTGGTCCCAAGGGGTCTCCTTGCTGAACCCCAGTAGAAGACCGAATATGTGTGTTTCCTAGATAAACCTTGCTGCTTGACCATAAAGGAATTCTACCCACAAGGAAATAGAGGGACACCTCAATCTGACCACATGAAGTAATGCGAATCTGTCAACAAGGTTACAGGCATTAGAGAAGTCCATGGTAAGCATGGAGAGAGATTTTTCATCGTGGCGCTCACTCAACAACCTATTGGCGCTATGTAAAACGGCCTCAGCGCCACCCAACACCCCGACTCCGAACTGAAAATCATTGAGATATTTGGCCATTTCTTTACCAACCCCTTTCATGGCCAACTTGGAAACCAAACGTCTCAATATAGTACTTACTGCAATAGGTCATATTCCCTTATCAGGTTTTAAAAGCAGCGTGAGAGGAGTAGAGGCAACAAATTCTGCCAAGCTCGAAGGGCATCTTCCCTCTAGCCATAGATTAACCACGGAAGTAATAGCATGTAGGAGGTCTTTAGATATAGTCGAACCTTCTCCACAAAGGGCATCTAAAATGTGTTGAGCTCTAAACCTGTCCCTCCCACACGAGGTACCTTTAGGGAAGGATTTAATTCCCCCAAGTACATTGTTAACATCCACTACTAGGGGGTTCTAAAATTATGGTGTTGGGCATGGAAGGCGGTGGCTTGTACGGATGCTTATCCTCCAATGCCTTCATGGTATCACCCCCAAATGGAGCAACCCCCGAAGAACATAAAACCTTCACTTCTGCTGTAAAATGTCCATCGGCAACCTTCCGAAGACATTGCCTGACATTGGTGCTGCTCGGTGTTCTTTTCTCCTAAATGTACTCTTCTTTTTTATCTTGTTGCTACAGTCTTGCATTGGCAACTAAGTTTTTAACTAGCTTGGTGATACCGTCTTCAGTCCCTCAAGTAGCTAAAGCGCTCAAGATATTACGATGTTACAAAGACTTCCTATTGCCAGACCTACTTTCTTGTCTATTCTTAGGCCTTAACACCTGAAGAGTACACCAAAAAAGAATTAGCAAACCCACGCTTCAACGGATCCGGGATGAGCAACCACCTTGGAAAGGGCTACTTTCAAAGCCTAAGAGAAAGCCATGTGACAGTTGTGAGGGATGCTTTTGACAGTGGTGATAGGCAGCTTAAAAACACAATCAAGTAGTTTAGCATCCATCACCAACCCATCATTGAGGTCGGCTTCCGGTCATTGGGTAGCGGCTTTGGAATGCCAACAATATGCATGCTCATGTCATCATCCCCGTCAATAAACTTAATCAAGCCACCCGGTTGGTGACATGAACGAATCAGGGCATGAAGCTTCATGCAATCCCCACATATCCATTGACCAAACTCCTTCAAAGTTGCTGCCACAAACATAAACAATCTAATGTCAGAAGTAATAGCCTCCCGTAACACAGCTCTACGTTCATCTGTATGGAGGTGTAAGCTCTTGAGGTGAGATATCATATGGTAAACCCCTTTACTTCCAACAATACCATTTGGGCAACAATAAAACCCCCAAAAAGGACACGGCCAAGCCCCGCTCTCAAATGAATAAGAGGATGACATAAACCAACAAATAAAGTTTATTTAAGCCTCAAGGTGAGGCACGAAATTATAAGCACTAACCCAAAAGAAAAAGTGATACTCCAACAAAAGGCTGGAGTGTGCACAATGGAACCCACACCGGATAGAATCCCTACATCAGCTTGAGTCGAAAATTAGCAACAACACTTGAAAAACTCATTTAGGCATTTTATCAAACACTTGGCAGCAGAAAAAAGAAACATCTTGTTTGCATCACCAAGCCTTAAATTATTTTACCCAAATGCAATCTTGAAGCGGGAATCATATAGCCCAAACTGATTAGGTGTTTCTCTCTCAAATTTTCCGTATGATATAACAACGTATTTCTTAAGAACATTCGAATTAATTTTAAGGATGAAAAATCCCTAAGGACCCAAACGTATATAAATTATATGGCATCCAAAACATGATCAATCTTGTTGTTTGTAGAGGAGTTATTCTTAGCCGTTAAAAGATCGTGTACCGATGATAACATGGTAGGGAGACGTCGATTTTAAGGTTCAAAATGTTGATAACTCTTTGAAAATACAATCATTGCAAATCAAATTGAAGGTGTTGGCACCAGAGTAAGGGTCGGGCGGTGGCGCCATCGGGAAAATGTGCTATTTCAATTCGCATTCTTTAAATGCTATTATTTGTGATCACAATACCAACTTAACACTAATAATTTTTTATTAGCATATTGTATGATACCTAATCAAATGAATACTTTTAATCAATTTTGATGTATGTTGGTGGGATGTTCGAATACACATGATTTTTCATTTTGTTTTTTCTTGAAAATTTTCATATATATATATATATAGGGTGAGGTTTATGTGATACGACCTAATTTTATAAAATCGTGAGACACAATCTTAGTCACTCATTTTGTAGATAAAAAACAAACATTTTTAAAATGCAAAATAATTGAAATTTTTCGGAAAAAAAAATTCAAATATTATTTTTGTCATTTATATTTTCCAAAAACAATTAAAAAATAAAAAATAAATAAATTCATTTTTTACATTTTCTAGTAGAATATTATAATATTTTACATATCTGAAAAATCTAGTAGAATATTATAACATTCTAAAAATTACATTAGAATATTTTCAGTGTAATATTCTATTCGAATATTTCACGTATTTTTCAAAAAAAGGGTAATGTTTTTAATTTTCTTTTAGGTAATTAAAGTGACGAAAATAATAATTAAATTTTTTTTTTGGATTTTTCTTTTTATTTTACATTTTAAAAATATTTTTAGTTTTTTGGTCTCATGATCTCACAAAATTAGAATAAAAGTAAAAATAAAAATAAAAAATAAAAAATAAAGTAAAAGTAAAAATAAAACCAATTTAGGGTCGTATTGAGAAAAAAAAATAAGCATCATATCTTTCCAATTTAAATGTATAAAGATCAAAATAAAGATAGATTATGAAAAGGGTAAGGGAATAGATCATATGTGATGGATCAAAGAACACATGGGATTTTTAAATCAACAATGGACCAAAATAAATCCAGTGGGGCCCCGATTACTCTGGAAAACTAACAACCATCATGTTGGATACTTTACACGCATTGGCCTGTTAAATGCACCATGACAATTATTTCCTGCAAAATGAAAAAGAGATCATTCATTGTGTGTGTGTCGCCAATCGCCATTCTCCAACCATGTTTCAAGCTTATTTCGATAACAAGTTCACGAATTCACTTGTGTACTACGTGTTATTGTTACTTTTGCTTCTCGTTTCACCTTTTCTTTTCATTTGGGAACTCATCACCACCATTCGATCACGTTTCCAACCTATAGAAAACATGTCTGGAAAAGTGGTTTTGATCACTGGTGCTTCATCAGGACTTGGAGAGGTACGTATACTACAAACCCTAAACCCTATATATCCTAGTTCAACATTTTCTTTAGTTTGCTATATAAATTGCAGCTCATGGCTTACGAATATGCAAAAAGAGGTGCATGTTTAACTATTGTCGCGATAAAAGAACCTGAGAGTCGCCTCGAAAAAGTAGCAGAGAGAGCTTGTGAACTCGGCTCTCCCGATGTTCTTTTCATATTTGCCGATGTTTCAAAGGTTGATGAGTGTAGGATGTTTGTGGATGACACCATTAAACGTTTTGGTCGATGTGAGTAACCCATGATCTCAAAGTCAACTCCTTTTTTTACTCACGTTTTTAACTTGCGAAATTAACATGCTAATCATTTTATTCACAGTGGATCATCTTGTTTGTAACGCGGGAATCGCAAACCTCTATTCAGTCAACATTGATATCACAAAATTCGCACCCGTTATGGTACAAAACTATAAATCTTGTTTGTTATGTAACTTTGTATTGTGTTTGATATTATATCATATGTGATTGATATACAGATGTTGCAATTGTTTATCCCACCCAAATAAGATGGGACGACAGTTGTTCTGCAAAAGATATGAATTCTCTTCATAAAAAATAACTCTATAAAATTTGTCATGTCCCACGTAAAAAAACGCAACCATAGTAAACAACTTATTAATTTATTTATTCATATGTGAACATATATATACAGGACATAAACTTTTGGGGATCGCTTTATCCAACTCATTTCGCGATGCCACATCTCATGAGAAGCAACGGGAAGATCGTCGTCAATGCTTCATGTGCTGGAATATTGAACCCACCGAAAGGAGGATTTTACAATGTAACGAACCCGGTTCAATCTACTCATCTTTTTTATTTAATCATATATGTATAAACCTTATGGTATCTAACGTGTATTAATTAATTTTAGACAAGTAAAGCAGCATTGATAAGCTTCTATGAGTCCCTCAGATTCGAAGTGTCTCCAAGAGTAACCATCGTAATCTTGACTCTTGGCTTCATTGACACAAACCTCATAACAGCTAAGTATTTGGCTAAAGGTGTTGGTGTACCTCTAAGAAATGTAAGTCATCACTGGTTTATGCTAAATAGCAACTGATCGATCGATCAACTTTTTTAAACTATTACTTTCTACAGGATTTTAGTAGGTTGCTCCCAACAATGGGGGCAGAGCCATGCGCCATAGCCATTGTCGATGGAGTATGCAAAGGAGCAACATCCATTACAGAACCAAGGTTTACGAAGGTTCTCTTTCTGATCAAGTACTTTTTCCCAGAAGTACACCATTTCTACTTTAGTAAGTTTTTTCGCTCGAAGTCTCGGAAGAATCAGAAGGGATAGATACACCTTTGCAAGAAGGTTGATACTTGATACTATCATCGGTATGGAGTGTGATTAGAATGGAACTCATCTTGCTTATGAGTTGTTCTAATGTTTTTAATGGAATTTGAAATAATGGGTGGATCTGGATCCCTAGAGTTATACAAATAATTATAGTTTTTAAGAGTAAATTACATAAATGATTCATATGGTTAAGTCAATTCGTGAGTTTAGTCCAACATTTGAAAGTTGATAGGTTACCTCCCTACGGTTTCGAATAATTACACCGTTGGTCCTTCTGAATAACTCCCTTAGAAAATAGAAGCTTAGTAGTATACTTACCATATACGTATTTGCAAACCAAGATACCAATATCTCAAATGCATCTGATATTTTTTTTTCTAAGCCAGCTACATTTCAATGTTTGAGGGGAAACATCAAACACTGTAATTAAATTATCAAATATTTTCATTAAATTGCAAAAATGTTCATGCAGTTGTTGATACTTTTTCATATAATTCTGTAATATGTAGCGAAATATTGCCGGAATGAGAAGATGATGAGGATAATATGGGAGTGGATGGGAGGGATGGTGGTGGTTGGTCTGTTAATAAAGTATTAAACTAATAAAAGACAAAAGTATAAAAAACAAAAATGAGAGTAAATTGGTCATTTACATGCATTTAATGGGGATTTTGTTACGAAGTTAAGACAAAGATGTAAATCTTTGAATTCATATGGACACAACCTATCAACTTTTTTAAATATTACACTAAACCTACGAATCTAGCCATAAAACAACGACTATTTATGTAAGTTACTGTTTTTAATGATTAAATCCTGTTATCCGAAGTGATATCATTAACTGATTAAGTTTAACTTTCTGTTTCAAAAATAACACAATTGCTTTGTATTACAATTTATGTGAATAATGTTGAATTCAATGCAGTGGGGGAAGTAGTATGGTCTTATCTTATAGGAATGGATTTTCAGAACTAAAGACAATAAATTATCATATCTGACACGAATTTCTTGATTTCTTCCAAAAAGAAACTGGGGTACACGATTTGGCCCATGTACAAGACCAAAACTATTTAATTAATTAGTTTTCGGCCAGGTTTGGGGGGACCGCCGAACCGGATCCGGTTCTTCAAGCCCACGGTTATGAGTAGCCGGGTTTTTTCTTTTTCTTTTTTGTTTTTTTTTTTTTTTTGAAAAATTGAAGGTTTACGGTCATATGGTTGTTTTAGGCCTATTTTAATTCATTTTTGACAAAAATGTAAGTTCCATACTTATGGTTTCTAAAAAATTATGGGTATGATCTAAAACATTTCTGATTCAAATTTAAATTTTTTTTGAGGTTTTAATCCCAAAATTAAGAAATTTCGGTGGTCTGTGTTCTTAGCAAACATGAAAGGATGATTTTGCCATTTTAATTTCTTTTTTTCATTTTTTTTATATTTCCTTTAAGAATTTATTAATTAAAATTAAACAGATAAAAGAAATGGGGCCATCTAGTTGTCCTTTCCTATCTCTCTCACCTGCTCGTCCTTTTCTTTCTCTCTGTAACACTCGGTTTCGGATCGTTTCATTATTCGGGGCCGTGACCCAATTGTTGGCTAGCATAAGGCTTAAGGCCTTGGGGGAAGAAGGGAATTGGCTCTTTTCGATATGGGTATTATAGATTAAGGGATACAGGTGTTCAACTTTGTGTTCGGAGCCTAAGGGTATAATCATAATTTGGTAGATCGGGCCTTTAAGATTTTTGGGTTTTGTTCAGAAGGCCGTTAGGTGGATGTGAGTTGATAGAAGTGTAGGGCTTCTCGTCACCTTTCTATGATAAAATTCGTTAGAAATGGACTCGGGATGAAGGAGTTAGACCTAAAAGAAGTTTTAGGGTTTTGGAGGGCCACCTAGTACGCGAGGCGTACTAGATGTGTACGTAGGGCGTACCGAGTAAGCTAGTCATGGATGATCTTTGAGTACGTCGGGTGTACTAAATGGTATGCGGGGCGCACTCCTTTAAACACTAAACCCTAATTTTTTGGGGGTTTTACCCTTATATAAGCATCATTATATATTTCCCCTGGGCATTTTAGGTCAACCTCCACCCCTATAATCATTCATTGAAACCATAGAGTGCTTGGGGTGGGTGTTTAGCTTGGGAGAGTGTTGGTGATGGTTTGTGTAAGAGAAGGAGAAGGTTGGAGACTTATTATTTGGAGAGGAGCTTAGAGATCCAGTATTTGCATCATCATTTCGTGACTTTGGAGGTATAAAGTCTCTATCTTGCTTACTCATTGCATAGATTTTCTTTTAGGCTTGTTATAGTAATTTTAGTCCCTATTGGTTGGTCCTTATGAGCATGGGTTGTTTTAGAAGCTTAATCTTGTGGATCTGATCATTTAAGAGGTCCCTTAAGCATAAAAATGCAAGATTTATGGTGTATTTGAACTCATGTTGTGCTAAGACCTTTTATTAAGCTCTTTTGAGCTCTAGAGCCCCCATTAAACCATGCATGCAAGTAAAGTTACCAACTTTACGTGATAAGTCATCCATAGGAATCAGATCTGAGAGTTTGGAGCAAGGGCTTAAGTATTTAAGTAATTTTGGATTTGGTTGGGGTTCAGAGGAGTACGTTGGACGTACCCATCTGGTACACTGTGCGTACTGGCCCTAAAAAGTGTACGTTGGGCATACTCGGCCAGGTTGGGTTCTCTTAAATTCTTGACCTTTTTGGACATTTGAACGTTGACCATTAAGTTGACTAGGATTATGTAATGTTCGCAGATCCGGGCTAGTCAATCTAGATATAATAGGGGTCGAAAACAACTTTTTGAGAAAATATTATTTCTAAATAATCTTAACTAAGTTATATAATATGTCTCAAGGGTTCCGTACATATAAAGAACGTTGAAATCAGAGTTATAACGAAGATGTTATGGTCCGTCGAAGTTTTTCGGTAAAACCAGCACGACACTAGGAGACGTAAATAGTGAATTTACGATAAAGGACCTTTTAGCCTTAGTAATTTAAGCAAAAGTCGTAGAATATGTTAAACTGAGAGTGTCCATAAAAAGAACGCCTAAATCTAACTTCGTATGAGGAAGTTATGAATTTTCTAACATTTGGCATAGAAGTACACGGCCCGAAACTCGAATTTTAGTTATATCGGTTTTTGGCCTATACGACCTAAATGAAAGTTGAAAATCTTATTAATAGGAACTCAGTGGTAAAAATACAGACGAAAACGGAGTCCGTATGTAGAAGTTATGAATTTTACGCGGACATTTAACAATATAATCTCCTCGTACTGTTAAATTTAAGATCGGTAGAGAATTAGCCAACGGAGTCAAAATGAAAGTTATAGATCTTATTTTTACCTACGCGTAGATGTAAAGAACGTCAAAAACGGAGGTCGTATGTGAAAGTTACGGATTTTAGAAGTCGGAAGTGTTATGCGAAAATGTGTGATATGGCACAATCTTGGTCATTGTTTTCTGCCCAAGTCTTGCCACTAGATGGTGACATGTGGCACCAAGTTTAGCCATTTTTCACCCTATAAATAAAATATCTTCCACCCTCATTTTCTTCACACCTTTCTCATTCTTTCTTCTCTTTACTCTTTCTCTCTCTCTCTCTCTCTCTAGAACCTCTCTCTAGCCCCGAAACCCCCCAAAAAGCCTAGGGAACCTCCCTAGCATGAGGCGGAAGCCCCAGAGTGCTTGACGGCTCCAAGAAGAAGAGATTTTCGGCTCGGGAATGCTGCTCCAAGCAAAGCCCCGTTTTCTATAAAACCCGATATAAGTGAGCTACGCCTATGCTATTTTTAATATAGCTTTTATTTAATTATAGTAACGTTATTAGGAACTTATAATAAATACTTGGGCTATTATTATGGGTTATATAAGTATTGTTTAACGCTTATATAATAGTAATAATAGCTAGACTATTAATTAATCTCCTCGAATAATATACTAAACTCTAGTAGTAATAATACTAGGTTTCGTCGAATGAAATTATTTTTAGCGAAACGCTGTCTAAGTTCGGATTCACCACCTTATCAAGTGAGTGCATAGTCCCTTTCATCTTACACATAGATATGAAGTATTTAATATAAATTATGTGCTATGTGTGCATATTGTCTGAATACTTGTTGTCCATGCTGAGTGAAATATTTTTATACACGTTTTAAATGATTTAAACTGTATATATATATATATATATATATATATATATATATATATATATATATATATGTATTTTATATCTACAAAACGTGTTGTGTAAAACATGGGTAGATGTAATAGTTGATGTGTGACCAAATAAAATAATGAGAGGCCTCGATATAGATGTTATTGATGATCCAGTCATCTAGCGGAGTATAGATGACGACCACGCACTATTTTAGACAGTCCAGTGGAACGCTAGCAGGCTCGCAACCTGTAGGTGTTTATTTCAACTGTGTGCTCACCAGCAGTACTCCATCCCCCACATGGTTGCCTTATTTGAGATGAATTGCTAAGGAACCCCCGAAGTATGTGTTGTCACCCCGATGAAAGTCCTTAGACTAGGTCCCTTGTGTTAGATGTTTTAGGGACGTAAAGTGAGGATAACAGGAACGGATAATCGGGTTTGTTTGGTTTGATAAAGTTAATAAACTTATTTATTGTGGGTTGAAAACTCTATGTACTCACCAGGTTTCCCAACCTGACCCACTCAACTTATTTATATCACAAGTGTTGATATGAAGTCACATTACACTGAGAGATTAAGGAGATATAAATCACTAGTGATAATGAATGTAAGTTCTGTTTATGCTTATGTTTCTGTATTGGCGATGACATACCAAATGTTTTAAAATGAATAAAAATACTTTTCTTCAGAAATTCTTTGATAATGTATTTATTATGTTTTACTGGGAACAAATTCCGCAACATTTTTATTAAAAGATGTACTCTGATTTTTATAAAGCATAAATAAAATCGGTCTTTTGTGGCCGTGAAAATTACGGATGTCACAGATTAACCATTGAATATCTTGGGCCTTTTAGGATATTAGATGTTTTCGAGATAATTATGTGATGGTTCCAGGTACAATTTGGATATTTAGGCCTTATTGAGCCTTGTAGTTTCATTTAAGGAATTTTAGGCTTTTAGAAATGTGGATTGGGCCTTAGCTTTGGACCAAGTTATGAAGAGGGTAAAAAGATCATTTACCATTAACAGCACAAGGATTCTTGCGGGCCATCAGCCAGAGATTTCTTCTATATGATTTGGCAGTGCGAGGTGAGTTTTCTCACTCTTCCCATGGGTCGAAGGCACCAAGGCCGACCCATTATCTGGTTATGTAGTAAGCTAGTTGTTGTGTAATACATGTTGTGATTGGGTTGAAATACACCCAGGGCGAGGCCCAATATAGTATGGCAGGTTGAAATATACCCCAGGGCGGACCCATTGTGATATGTTTGATTTGAAATATACCCCAGGGCAGGGACCACTGTGATATGTTCGGGTTAAAATATACCCCAGGGTGAGGCCCAAGATGGTTCCTATACTTGTTTGT